CACGCATCTGCGCTGCTTCCTCGCATTTTTTTAAAGCAATCGTTATTTTTATTTTATCATAAAAATTATTAAACATATTCATCGAGCTTCGATAACAAAGAATTTCATATTACACGGGTGGAAACGATGCGAAAAAAATTCATATTGTACTTTTGCACAATTGAAATACGTAAAATATATTAAACATATTTATTAAATCGACAAATTATAGAATGATATAAGGGGATTATAACATGATTAATAACGAGAAAGACAAAGCTGGTCGTTCAGCTTGTTGACACAAAGTAATCCAACGATTCGCACAAATAAATCTCCGAAGTACGACATTCACGGTGCGATCGACAGTGGTTTTCGCTCGATATACTTTATCGGTGAAAACAAAAGGTATTTGAATTTTTCGTCCTTCTCTGTGCGCAACGAGAAACCGGCTCGACTTTGCGCTCGATCGCGTTATTTGGATTAATTCGTGGGTTTTGTTGGATGTATGCTTTGCAACTGAGTTTCTGTATGAATGTTTTTTTGCTTCGATTGTTCAAAACGTAAAATAGTCGCGAGCTGCCACGAAGAGTATTATGATACCACGTACCAGAGGCATGGTCTATCGCAATGCAACATTGTGTACAGTTAACCACAAGTATCATTGATCCAACGGAAGCTGTATAGGTTGCTTCAAAGCGATCGCTGGAAGTCGGCGCTACGAGAGAATTTAGGTTACAGACCTAGCGGTTCGTTCCCCTTCCTATCTTCGTTCCATTGACTATCCGCGACTTGGCGACCAACCAATTCCTGCGTTTTCGTGACATACTACTAGCCTACATTTTGTCGGGTCGATGCGGTGCATCGAACTTCACCGTCGCTAGAACGTCCCGGCGCGTCGCGATAGTCCACCGATTCCTTTTGTTTAAATATTTCAATGAACTTGCCAGGGAGACAGAGTACGACCGCTACTTTCTCGCGTTATCATCCTGTTCTTTGAAACTCCCTTCCCAAACCTCTTTTCACTAGATATCTTCCTAGATTCATCGCGCTCCACTCGCTGACTGTTCGGAGAAGTTTATTAGGCGAACTTCTTTCTTGGTATCTCTGCGATATAATATTCGACTTCACGAACGAAGAAAGGAGAAAGGACATTATGCAGGAGGACGAAGTTTGAGACAACGGTAAAAAATTACTTCGATTCGAAATTCGATTTCTCTTAAACCGGGCTGCGATCGATATCGCCTTCCATCTTTTTTTTTTTTTGTTCTTGAATTCTCTTCGTTATTTTTCTGTGCCTGGGTAATGCGGGCATTCTCACGTGCAAATGAGAAGACGTTGACGTGCGATGTGACGCGACGCGACGCACAAGTGCGGCATTTGAATGAGGACTCGGGATAAAAATCAAAATTCGTTGGCCGCGTTCGCACGTTCGCAGGCCATGTTCTCACGTTCCACGTGACGCGACATGCGCTTGCCGTAGCTTGTCGCAGCTTGTCGCGCAAAGCGAATAGAACAGAAGCGATTCCAATCGTGAGTGCCAATGGCCCGGGATTTCTTGTTTTTTTATGGCCGATCAAACTTGGTCCTGCACGAAACGGTTCGGCGAGGCAAAAATCAGGGACAGGTATCCTCTGTCTGGTTGAAAAACGATCCTCCTCGAGGTTCGTTGAATTTTAAGATTGTCGGGTAGGTACGCGAACGTGGAGGAGGCAAGGCTTCGGGGAAAACTTTGTCGATTGCCACGGCGCGAAGGGTTATTGCATTGCAAAATTGTCTTCAGAACTCCTTTATTGACCGAAAGTTGGAGGCATTCCATTATTGCAGCTTGTATGCATGATTTTTCTTTTCGCCTCTTCCCCGTGTTCTGATAAAATTGGAAGCCTTGAGAAATCCTATCATGTTTGATTTTCTAGAAAAAGTAATTGTATTTCTTCGGAACACGAGTGTGGTTTTCAAATTGAACTGAAGAAATTAATCCGTAAAATTAGTCTGTAATTGATGCAATGATCATTGTAATTGCCATGTTAGACAATATGATAATTTCCAAGATCTTATATAAATATTCAGAACTCTACAGATAATGACAAAAATCTATTTGATTGAAATAATTTATTCGAAAGTTAATTAATTAAGTTATATATATAACAATATATACAATTTAAGTATATATATGCTTAAATTGTAGAGCCGTTAATTAACGAGATAATGATGATATGCAGAATGTCTCATAGTGGATTATCGTGTTAATACAAAGAATCGTGCTGATATATCTTATAATGTTTTTTTGAAATTTGATTGCTTTCTCTGCAGTTCCAGCGTACCATAATGTCGTCTACAATTAAGATTAAACAATATAGTTGAGTAAATTTATTTACGTTCGACTATAGCGAAACGATAATAATTTCCGTCGTTAGCCTGTGCGTGCTTTTGTGTTGTATCTCGCCCCAAGACTCCTGTCGAGGTAAATTAAACTACTGTGCCATGTCTAGCGAATGAAATAAATGGTCCTATCGTTCCGTTTCTGGCACAGCAACCGAAAGTATGCTTTTTCATCGATTTCGAATGGTCGGACTGTAATCGAAGCGAACAGGTTCGCAAACTTCATTTATGAAATGATGAAATTTATCTCACTGACTTTAGAAATTAATCTAAAGTTAAATCGGGAAATTTTTGAATATTTTACGAATTCGAAAGTTTAGAAATAATTACTTCGTACGGTATTACCAAATGTAGCGCTGTAATTGGTATCAGGTAAGAGGATTCAGAGCAGAGAGTTGACAGGATAATTGACTCGGTTTAGTTGTAGACAGCTTTAAAGCGATTAGGAGTTCTGAAACGAACATAGAGACGACCTGCATATAGGAGAACGATTGAGTTAGTGTTCGAATAGCTATTACATGCTCAATACATTATATAGTATGAAAATTTCTCTATAATTGGCATAAGCGTGGAAATATAGAATGAAGCAATTTCGCCTCGTTTCGGATAAAATCTAGCGGGGGAACTTACAAATTTAAAGATATTGTTTTAAAATGAGCAATTCTGATAATACTTTTAATATATATGGACAGGTTAAATGTGAATGTATGACCCGCCGGTTTCGAAACCACCAATCGTATAGAACTTGAAGAAAGCCAGTGATGTACAATGCTTGCTTTAAAGCGTACAATTTCCGGGGCTCTGTCGGGAGAAGCGTTTATATCCGCGTGACGATAAACTATCTTGTTTGTTCCCGAGAAAGCTTTAAAGTAGCATCATCCTATTTTCTACAATAAAACGAAAAAATGCAGTTATTTAATTGCGTTAGTTCTTCTTGTAGTTTTCTGGCTCGTTACGATCGACTCTGCATTTAAATTGTACTACATATATATTAAGTGAGTGGACTGTATTAAGGAAATTTCTAAAAGTTGTCTTAAACATGATCCTTATATCAATTCGTTCGTTAGATTCTTAAAGAATATTATTAATATCCAGCTACATATATTCGCTAAAGCTTATTACAATTTAAACGATTATAACGAAGTTTATCTGCTTACCGAGCTCGATCTAGTGTACAACTTTGGCGAATATAATCGAATAGAATCGAGAGTTATCAAATCGGCAAACTGACACTTTATTTCCGGTTCAACGTATTCAACATTGAACATTCAGCTTCTATTATCCTGAATATTCCACTTTAGTTTCGAGCGATAATCGCCCCGTTTACGATGTACCTTTTTTGCTTCTTTTACATCCACTAAACTGTAACGATCGTTACGACTACAAGAAATAAAAAGGGAAATAAAGGGAAAGGAAAAGAGAGTAAGAAAACTGAGGAAAAAATATTCGCACAATAGTAAACCAAAGCAAAAAGTGAATATTTATGAATATTTCATGAAGCGGACAGATAACTGTAGAGGTGCTGTTAAAAGCTTGATACATTTTCTCGATATGGACATGATATTAATTACAATAATTCCTATAATATTTTATTCTGCAGAATATTCTTTCCGGAAATCGGCTTATCGCAAATCTGAATCGGGCTAAATGCTATAACTTAACAGCGTTGGCGCATGTCAGAGGACAAAGTCGGCTCCGTGACCATTATTCCACCCTGGATGGATCAAAGAATTATTGGTTCACGCAACTCTCGAAACGCAATTGGGTTGCACGGTAATCAATTTAAAATGATAACTGGTCACATACGCCCGGAGGAACAGCGGATGTGTGCGCGATACGTGAAACATTTATTATGAAATAACAGTTACGTTTAAGTAATTAATTCGCCGCGTTGATGTTCGGTTCGTCATCACGGAAATATAACATAATGTAATTTTATACGTTCTGCTTTGTATCATTAATACGCTATGATAAATAATTTTTTTTTATTGTAATTGTCTTTTCTTATGTTTCTTTTATTGCGGAATATAGTTCTTGTGTTATTTGCAATGTTTGTAAAAGCGAAATAGCTTGCGAAATCGGTGACAGTTTTTGGTACTAATGATATTTATTATCAGAGCTTTTTTGTAATACACGCTCGTATCATTTAATAGTAAAAAAAGTCGCATCGTAAATTTGTATCGATGCCCTGATGTTTATAAGGGTATCAAGAACAGTCATCGTGCAATGACCCGGGCGAGATAAGGCAGTGTCCAATTTTCAGCAATGCCACCATGGGACCGTGTCACCTTTAACATTGTTGGCGTAGCCAGCACGGCTGAAATATCGTCTTGTAAAATATGAAACTGGCCGAGTTCCATCGTCGACGTTACGGCGGCGTGTGTCCGCCCCAAAGAGAAATAGCTACATCGTTTCTCGGTTAAAGGAAGAATGGCAAGCAAAAGAACAACAGGCATCGCGACCTTTTCTTCTATTATCCAACGTTCGTCCGTCGTTTCTGGATGCACTAGAAAATTCCTTGAGATGCGCTTTCATCGGTTCCAATGAAATATCTGTTGAACTGAGAGACAATCTTCGAGAAAGCGTATTCCGTGTACAGTCTTTAGTTACGAAGTAATAATTTCAGTTTCATAACACATTAATAACACAATCCATATTACGTTTATTTAAAAAAGTAATTGTCTACATTTAAAGCGAGTATTCGAATTTTGATATTTACAGTATTCGTATTTGCGCGCTTGTAAAATATTTATACGTTCATATAATAACTCAATTAGAGATTATAAATTGTTCCGTATTTTCCTCACGAGAGAGATTAGTCTTATTAACACTAGATATACTTCAAGCTTTACTCTTCCCCGTCAGTTGATCCTGAATTGCTTGCAAGGACATTCCTTTCGTCTCAGGTACACAGATCAAGGTAAATGGTATAGCCGTAGCCTCTAACAGGCCATAAAATAGAAACAAATATCGTTCGTTCAGAAAATTAAGCAGCGGCATGTAAGTGACGGTTGAGATGAAAGAGACAACGGCGGCTGTGCTGCTGATAATAAATGCTGCGATGCACTTTAGATGAGGAGGAAAGAGTTCGCCAAGCATCGTTGGTGGTAGGAGAGTAACACCCGAGAAAACTGTTATGTAGAAAGCTATCATTCCGGTAATCGCTAGTCCTTCCACTGTTTTTGAATCAAAACCAAAATCTAACAATTGAAACTCGACCGTTAACAGACTTAAAGATAACGCGATTCCAGTGCACGATATGACCATAACAATTTTCCTCCCAAGTCTGTCCATTAAAAGCATTGATAAACAAGATCCAATGATACCACATGCCATCACTATTATCACCACTTGCGCTGGGTCCATCACGCTAACTTTTGCGGACATGAAGATCGACTCCATGTAAAACGAAATGTTATTGATTCCGCTCAATTGAGCGTACGCGGTAAGAATCGTAACAATAATAATCGACTTACGGAAATGAACAATTTTTAACTCCCTGAGAGAGTCTGTTAACGTTTGCTTATTGACATTTTCAACAAACTTTCGTAAGTCCATGAATTCCGATTCTACGTCATAGTCTCTATGGTACCATTGAATCGATGATTTTGCTTTCTCGTCCAAGCTTTTCTTAATTAAATGATGAGGGGATTCTGGCAGCCAGATGAAAAGAATCATTAGCAAAAGGCAAAAAACTAAGGCTATCATGGCTGATACAGTCATCGACAAATACGCTCCCATAACACTCATTATAAAGTTTCCTGTCGCTACGCCGCTCGTGCCTAGTGCCATCAACGCTCCTCGGATGGTAGGATCCGCTATTTCCCCTAGATATATAGAATAGCAGCTGTAAGTTATCCCTAGGCTGATGCCACTGCAAAATCTCGAGACGTATAACCACTCCACGCTGTTAGCCAAGATGATGAACAGCCAACCAAGCGAGATGGGCACAGTGCTGATCGTAATTGTTGTCTTGCTGCCGACGTAGTTGACGCATATAGCGCCTCCGATAGCACCGAAAAATCTTCCCAGATTGAATAACGACACCACCCACGATATTTCCGATAGTGTCACCGGAAATGTAGATTCTGCAGAAGTTAAGTAGTTGATGTACGGAGACGACCATCCTCCCACTAATCCCAGTTCCGTTATCAACAACCAGACTGTAAGAAAAATTCAAAATTATGATTCTCCTTTTATCTGGATGTTTCGCGGCCACTGCAACATTGTTAATATTACTGCGCAATATGCATTTCGAAAAGTTAATTGGTGATTGGTTAATACCTCCACAACCAGCGATCCATTGCGGCCAGAACACTTTTTTCTTTAATTTCTCACTTCTTGCCTCGGTCATGATGAGTCCTCCGAAGGTAAGGAGCAGCTGACAGATGTATTACTTACATCAAAATTATATAGCTTTGAAAATAGTGAAACAGATTACATAAATGCAGATAACATCACGCATGCGTGCATTATTCCTATATATTCTATCATATGTTCAGGAATGAGATTTCCACGTTTCCATTTTTTAGTTTTTCACGAGAAACAAAAGACGTGGGGGGTAGAATGGGGGGTCTTGCTCGAATGAAAGCAATCACTTCTACGGTAATAACACGTTTTACTAACGAATATCATAAATTATACTTTGTAGGTGTTTGCCCTGTCTCCATACTGTTATAGAAATTGCTTTGTTTAAACAGGATGATTGTAATATCAGCATATGTCAAAATAAAGAGTCTGATAATTGGAAACTGACGTAATTTACAATTCTATGAGACGACAGAGATCATTTCAAGACTGCTTTTTTATTTAATCTCGCGTGATATATACTTAGTAATATTAATAACAACAGTAATATTATTAATACAAATATTTCATTGCAGAAAATACAAATATTCTTCTGGCTCTCCTTTATATACGAATCTCTGCTACTTGTAAAGTGGGAATGTATGATTCCTGTTGCGTATAATGAAAGTGTAATCATTTTTATCAGTAATATCATTTGTCTGACACACATATAATTCCATAGCTTAATTAGCTAACGAGCTGAGCTATGTTTGATTTGAGCTAATATTTTATTTTTACATGAATTGCGAGATTAGCAAGAGCTTTTCTTTCATCTATATAGTTGCAAGATAAATACATAGTTGAACAAACGCACTGTTTGATATTTATTTTAAATTCTTTTTGTTTAAATAATATGTTTACAGACTAAAACGATCGAAATAAAATACACCCTGGAGTTTTAAGTATAGTTTACAGGTCTTCAGCTTTGATTTTGAATTTAACGATCCCTCATGATGCAAATGAAAGTAATAATATCAGTTATCTAATATATCTTTTTTGTGCATATATTGTAGGAATTTAATGTTTAATTGCAAAATTCCTTAATAATTCTTCACGTCATTGCCTGATTAAGTTCTCTGGTGGTTATTTGCGAAATACTATTGTTTAGTGGCTTTTTGTGATAAGATAAGATACGTGTAATTACGTACAATTCGCTGAGTAATGGAGAAATTGAAATCTCCGTATATATGACTGATTATTTTATATAATAATCAACACTATATATTTCTCTCATTTTCGGTATATGTGATAAAGGTATATGATAAGAGTAATTAAAATATTCGTTCGTAGAAGTATCATTTATTTTTATTGAGATCACCTTTAGTTCACACTTTATTCCAATACAGTCTGTTATCGTACCGTTCTTGTTATTTCCGAACTGCTTCCTCCTTTTTTACTCTCGCTAGCTAGCATGTCCTGTATTTCCTGTCAACATTATATCGATATCGATTATTTAATACCACGTCAACGGGAAACTGAACAATGACTGATTCGTCCACTGTTTGTACAACAGGAACAGACTACTACATCATTCTGTCATTACCCACACTCTCGCGAGCCAACTTGACATCTTTTCTATTAGAATCGAATTAGCAAATTTTTGATGAATATCTACTGAATCATCTCATACGCCGCTTCAAATATATAATCTATCTTCGAGCCTGGATAAATAATAAATTAATAAAATCGAATATACTGTACAATATTTAAAACAGTGCTTCTTCAAAGACATAAAATTCCCTTTTACAAATATCACATCGTCGACAGAATATTTGCAATAATCTGATAAGATAATAATCTGATAAGATCGTGAACGTTGTGAATCAGTTAAAAATTACCTGCAAGGTCTTCCCCTTGGTTTCGGGCATTTCGGTGATCGAATATACCAAGCAGACGGTCATGGCTATCGCGTACATCCAGAATACGTATTTTTCGGACATGAGATCGATGAGCGGTTGGTAGGTTCTACTACAGATGAACGCGAATAACGCGGACGTGATGCTGGCAGTGAATCCGGCGATGCTCTTTAAATCGTCTGGGAAAAGCTCGCTGAGTATGGTGCTCGGAACCGGTATCAGACCGATGGACATCATCATGAAGAGTATCATCGCTAGGATCGGCAGCCATTCCAGACTTTTTGGTTCAAAATTCTGCTCCAGTAGCAGAAAGTGTAATCCCAGAAGCACCATCGCGATGATTACGCAGCCGCATGACACCGCAATGAGAACCTTTCTCCCGCACCGATCGATCAGATACACACTGATCCAGCCGATCACTATACCTGAAATGCGAATATCGTATCCTGTATCGATTCGAAAATCCTCGAAATAAAATAGAAGAGAAGAAATAAACCGGAGGACAAAAAGAAAGTTTCGTCCTTTTCCTTCGACGTCTTAAGTTATGGCAATAGTGGATGCGTGCTCTGGCGAGCTATCGCTTTGACGAATAAAACATTTAAAGACCGAAATGAATTTACATATACATGTAAAACGTATCAGAAGAAGCTAAAAAGTACATTTTTATTAAATTTTTGATCTAAATGTCGTTTTATGACTAAAAAAGAAGCATATAATATAGAGCGGTATGGATAATATATAATAGTTGGCAACGTAATGAATTTTAAAGCTACTTGTACAAGATGGAAAATGTAACGTATCATACCCATCAGAATACACATCCAGGGTAAACATAGCTTTAAAATGAGAACTGGACTATTTCGAAAATTCACGGATTATATCGGAATAAAAAGAAACGCTATTGAAACGTATCTTGAAACATATATGCATAGAAATTATTCTCTTTGTGTAAAATGTACCAATTCCAGTGGAGATGATCACGACGGTCGCCGGCTCCAGCGACGTCACTTTCGCGCTTCTTATGATTATTTCCATATAGTATGTCACGGTGTTTAACCCACTGAGTTGCATGAAAATGAACAACAGTATAATCATATAGAACGCGCGCCTATTCTTCCTTTCCATAATCTGATTGATTTTGTCGCGGAAGTTGGTTGATTTGGAAGATTGCACGAAGTCCTCGATTATTTCCAACTCGACGTTCACGTTTGATTTTCGGTGATACCATTGGATTGTTTTCTTCGCCTCAATCGCATTATTCTGCCGCACATAATAGTGAGGCGATTGTGGTAGCAACGGGAAGACCGTCATGAAGCAGATGGTCAAAACTAGACTTACAAGTCCAAAACACATCATCGACACATGACTGCCCATTATGTTGCCGATCAACGTTCCAAATGGCATCCCATTTACTATTGTGCTGACCAGTGCACCACGGATGTTGGCTGATGCTATTTCGCCTATGTAAAAGGCGAAGCAGCTATAATACATGCCGAAAGAGATACCTAAAAAAATATCTTCTAATAATTGTATGTACTTGAAGTGACAAGATACATGTGCGATCTATCACAAACGTCGAATAAAAATTACCTGCGCTAATTCTGAATACGTAAAGCCAAAATGCCGAGTTAGCAAATATTATGCAAATCCAACTTATTATAATAGGAATTCCAGACATTAACAGAGATCTTTTGCTGCCGTAATACTCCATGGTGACGGAACCGCCGATAGCACCGAATAAACGTCCAAATGGTAACAAAGAAACGATCCATGATCCTTCTTCATCCGTTATAGGTATTTCCGAGTCTTCCAGGGTCAAGCGTGCGAGGAAAGGGGACGTCCAACCGATCGTTAGTCCAATACTGATAGCCATTAGAGCCACTATGATGAAATCCCTAATTGATGTTGTATGAATTCACGCGAAACGTGCGACGATCACATAATATTTTTGTAACATCGATATCTGTGTCTAACTAAAATAACACAAGGATAATGCAACGTACACAGAAATGTAGAACTGTCGACTAACCTGTCAGACAGGTGGCCCATTGTGGCCACACACGGAGAAAAGCCTCTATTGCCTTCAGTTTCATGGATGCGTTGAGCGAGATAAAGCGCAAGAATACTTCTGACGGCTCTCCGCCGCACCGGTTCGTCACTACCGCGGATTCGTACTTCTAATTGATTTATATTTTCCTGTTTTCTCAGTTCGCATTCTCTTTCGGATCGTCGCCTCTCATAAATATTTGGCGCTCGGTATCTTAGCAGTGAGACATGATTCGTCATGAAGCTTTCGCTATCAGCGATACGGAAACTGCGTGCATTCGCGTGTAATATTTCAATCGAATTTTTGGACTGCCTCGAATATCGTATACCGCAACCTACTGATTGCACAACGTTGAACTATGTGCAATGTGAATAGAATCTGGCTCTCTAACAATTTCGAGCATCGTTATGGAAGTAGTTATGAACGGATGGTTGTTGTTTATCGAGAGAAACACTGCTAAGTTTTCAATGATTCAGCTTCGATTCATGTACGTGTACTTTCAGCCTTTTCCCACGACAAAAAGTTAAAACAGAAAACTTTAACCACTGAGAACCGCTCTAATTAACAACGAATTATGTTTTCATATGTGTTATTGCGCTGCTAATATCGATTTTGGCATGAAAATGAGGTTCTTCATGACTTTAATAGAAATGAAGATTGGATCGAAATACGGTTCAACGTGCTATTACACGAAACGAAATATTTATGGTCACGCGTTAATCAATTTTCCAAATTGCACGATGACTGGCGAGAAGCATAATTAAAATACACACTGGAATTTGCTTGAGTTTAATGAACGAAATAAACGAATAGAAATAAATATTTTCAACTTTTATTAAATTGACGTTTTCATTTTTGCGCCAGCTTGCAAGCTTGGAGCATGTTCCTGCGAAAAGAACGGTTTTTATACAACGTATTTTTCATGCTGATATTGTTAGTTTCATCCATTGTGCTCTTGATTTTTGTGATAAATTTCAATGTTTCGTTTTGCATCATTTCTGAATTTTCAGTTGTACGTAAAGGAAGAATTACTCGAAGAATGCATGTAATTTTCTAAGTTATAATTTTAAGATTCAATAGGATCGGTCGAAGTCAATGTGTATATCGATGAAATTTAAATATCTGTTCATTCTTGGAAATGGTTGTAATAGTATTGCGCCTGAG